TCCAAGGTTTCTTTTGATTCGACTGGTTTCCTCCTTTGTTGCCATTCCAGCTACCTTTGCCTTTTCTTTCCTTTTCTGACTGCGCCTGTAAAGCCATGTCTTTCGACTTTCCTGCAGCTCTCTCAGCCATCCTCTGTTCATGAGACTCAAGAGTCCCTTGAAGCTCTTCCTTCGTCAACATTGACAGATCTTTAGACTCTTCTATGGCAACTACCATGTGGTCGAATTTTGGAGCCAACGATCTCAAGATTTTTGAGACAACTGCTTTCGTCGTCAGCGCTTCTCCACATACTTTGATTTGATTCACCAACTTTGTAACTCTGGTGAAGAAATCTATAATGCTTTCGTTGTCTTCCATCTGAAGCAACTCATAGGTTCTATTGTGAGTTTGTAACCTCACCTCTTTCACCTTCTCTGCGCCTCCAAACGACTTTTCAAGAATCTCCCATGCTTCTTTTGCTGAATCAACATCACTAACCTTTTCAAAGTTATCAGGATCAACACATTGATGAATTATAAAGAGTGATTTATAATCCTTCTTCTTCAATTCTTTGTGCGCTGCCTTTTCCGCCTCCGTTGCGTTCTCCCTAAGCGATGTTACTCCATCTTTCACAAGATCCCAAAGATCTTGATAACAGAAGATCACCTTAATCTGCTTGCACCAATTCTCATAATTGTCTTTCTTGAGAATTGGCAGGGTCGCCGGAAAGTTTCCATTTGGATAGTTCATCGCCATCACTATCTTCCTTCCTTGAATCTCTTAACCGGAGCTCTAGATATTAGATGTTAGAAATTCACCTCACACCCTATGAAGAATTCCCTTCAATCTTGATCTCAAGATTGATGAACAAACCCACAATATGATAATGATGGTAATAACAAGTAATTATCAAGAACAACAAAAGAGAAGAAGAATAACAAACAAGAAAGAGAAGAATGAGAGAAGAAGTATTTGGAGAGAATGTGTTACCCACAACTGTGGGATTTCTTATTGAACTTTTACTTGCTAACTGCAACTGTGAAATATGTTCTGTTGTGATGTAGAATACAAAGCAAGGCACCCTATTTATAGTTTTAGGTTTACACTAGCCCAAAACATAAAAGGCCCAAAATATTCTAAATCAAATCTAATCATATGATATCAAATCTAATCGTATGATATCAAATCTAATCATATGATATCTAATCATATCATATCAAATTAATCATATGATATCAAATCTAATCATATCAAATCACAATGAATTATATTTAACAGTTATCCGCCTTTTGATCCCATGTTATTTGCAATACTCTTTGAATTCTCTAGAATTGTATTATCCTTTTCTATCTGTTCTTAAGCACTTGATAAACATGCATGATTCCTTTTCCACAAGTGTTTTGAATAATTTAAAGTAATATAAGGTTTCAGATTTCTCTAGTACAATGTATATCAAAATTTTCCTAGACAAATCATCGATAAGACTTATTAGGCACCTCTTTTTTCTATTTAATGGAGGTGTGATCAGACTGCATAGATCAGAATGGACGATTTACTCTCCATGTGCTTTGCTTTTGAAACGATACTCTGTGTTGTTTCGCTTTCATGCATGTCTCACATGTGACCTTTGGTGGCACAATTTCAAGTAAACCAGTGACCATTTCCTAGTTGATTAATTAAGGTGTGAAGACTCTTGTAACTGAGATGCCTATATTGATGATGCCACAGTTCCGCTTTGTCTAAAACATCAACCTGAAAGCATCTTTCTTCCCCTTCCTTATGAAAAGATTCAGCAAATAAAACATACATTCGATTTGCACTCATGACAGCCTCAGCTATTTTACCTTTCATAGGGTGAAATATGTTACATGTTTTATTCACTCTTCCCTTAAATAACATATCTAATCCTTTTTCTTGAAGTTTCCCAACACTTAGAAATTTTTTTCTTAACTCAAAAACATAATACACATTACTCATAACTCAGCTTATTCCTTGGAGCATAACTTTCACCGTTCCTTTCCCATTTACAACTTATTTTTTTATTATTCCCAAGCTTGACAATATGAGTGAAAGAAGTATCAAAACTTGAGAACATACCTCGATCACCACACATGTGGTTTGAGCATCCAGAGTCTACAAACCAGGCATCACTTCTCTTTATTTCTTGGAGTTCCACAAGTGCCATTAGCAGAACTGCATCTTCCCTCCATTTCTGTTAGTGAGCTTCTTTGTTCCAATTTACGCATTCATGCTGATAATGCCCTAAACTATGGCATTTTAGCACTCAATCAATGCCTTTTTGAAAAGGGGCCTCGACCCTACCTCGACCTCTGTAAAATCCTCTGCCTCTGCCTCTGACATTGAGAGCTTGAGCATCTTTCAACACTGGTTTTCTTAAAATTTTGCTCATGAACAATCAAATAACTTTTCAACTCATCAATTAACATTGGATTCATTAACTGAAACTGCCGCATATATGAATTAGTCTGTCAATGTTCGAAGGATCTTCTCAACGATCTTTGAATCTGGAATGTTTTCTCCATTGCTCCTCATTTTGTTGGAAACTGTCATTACTCTTGCAAAGTAATCGACAATTTTCTCGTCTTACTTCATGGTAAGAACCTCGAATTCTCTCTTTAGAGTATTCATAAGATATAGTTTCACCTTCTCATTCCCTCCAAACTTCTTCTTCATTGAATCCCAAACAATTTTGAATGTTCGGCGATCCAAGATCTGTTCGAACACGATTCAATAAATTGCCTGGAATATGTAATATTTTACCTGATGATCCTTTATCTCAAGATTCTTAAGTTTTTTCCGTTGGGTATCAGTTGCAACAACTCCTTCTTGAAAAGGTATTCACACTGGTTTTTAGGATTGAAAGCATTAGGCTAGTTGTTGGTATTACAAATGACAACAATTGGTCCATCTATCAAATAGACGTGAAATCTGTGTTTTTTAACTGACCGCTTGAAAAGAGGTGTATGTAGAACAAATATCTGGTTTTGTTGTGAGAAACCAAGAGTTAAAGTTCTACAAGTTGAAGAAAGCGTTGTATGGTTTGAAACAAGTTCCAAGAGCTTAAAACAAAAGGATAGATGGTTTCTTAAAGGAGATTGACTTCAAGAAATGTGTATCCGAACATGGCGTGTATGTGAAGGCGAATACAAGTGAATGAGTGGTTATCCTTTTTCTATATTGATAAAAGGCAACGAAAAAAGTGCATTTCTAAGTTCAAGAGTGAACTTATGAAAGAGTTTGAGATGAACGACCTTAGCCTCATGACATATTTCCTTAGAATTGAGTTTCACAAGTCTAAAAGGGGACTACTTATGCACCAAAGAAGGTATGCGTTTGAGATATTGAAGATATTTGAAATGGAGCATTGTAACTATGTCTTTATTCCGTGTGAACCGAGGCTACAATTGTTGAAGAATGAGAGTGAGGAAGATGTTAATTCAACTCAATATATGAGGCTGATTGGATCCTTGTGTTACTTGTGCAACACGCGACCGAACTTGACGTTTAGTATCGGTATTGTGAGTAGATTCATGGAGAGATCGAATGTGTCTCACTTGAAAATGATCAAGAGGAACCTAAGATACGTCAAATGATCGAATGGCTACGAAATTCTCTTTTCCTCAACAAACACGGACATAAAATGCAATTTACTCATTTTTACCGATTCCAATTGGTACAAAGATAAAGATGATCGAAATTCTATAGTTGGATACATCTTTATATTTGGCGGAACACCAATCTCAAGGTGTTCAACGAAGGAACCGATAGTTGCACTCCTGTCTTGTGAGAAAGAGTACATTGTTGCTTTGTTATGTGTGTGCCAAACCGTGTGGCTAATGAATCTATTGAAGGACTTGGACAACAATGAAGGTGATGTTACATTCCTTGTTGATAACGTTTTCGCGATTAATCTTGCTAAGAACTCAATTGCTCGTGAGAGGAGCAAACACATTGAGATGAGGTTTCATTACTTGAGAGAACTTGTTTGTGAAGGAATGTTGAGATTAGAATATTGTCAAAGTGAATATCAAGTAGCTCGTTTGTTGATCAAGAGAGTCACAAGTGAGTGCTCAAGAGATTGAAGCTGAACATGGGCATGAAAAATTTGAAGCACTTGAATTAAGATAATGTGTTAAGTGAAAATTGATAATTCAAGTGCTATAACCAATTACCACGGGAGTGTATCTGATTACAGATGGGCGAAATTCACTTACGGGTTAAAAAAGAGAAAGTTGGACGTAATCGATTACCGTAATTGATTACTGTAACCATTTACCACTATATTGATTTAATCTTGTAACTGCTATAACCGATTACAGGTTTAGTGTATCCGGTTACAGATAAAATTTTCGGTTATTTTGGCTATCTCAATCCACTTATAAACATATAAATATTTTGGAGATATTATTTTCAATATAAATGATAATTCTCAATTAGTCTCTCTAATAACAATTCTCTTACTACATCTCCACACTCAATTTCTCCTCCGTTATTTATTAATTGTGGTTCCGAATTCTAATGGTACACACTATAGCAGCCACAGAGAATTTGAATGCGTTACGCAACTCAAACATCATAAATTGGATATAATTTTCTTTCAATAAAGTATTAGCTAGATAATGACATTTTCCTTAAAAACTACATTTCTGAGAGCAAACTTAGAAATTCCGCTTGGAATATTTACTTATGTCACGTCATGAATCATCAGTTCCCTGCCACGCGCCAGCAGCAGAAGCAGTATTTAGTTCAACGCCACCTTTGTGTACTATATGCTGTTGCATGAGATAAGTCATATTTCAAACCTGAATATTTAGCCTAAAGGATATGCTTTGAACATTGAAATAACGACAGTGTTTGGAAGTAACAAGAAAATTCTGCTACGGAATGTGTCACACTCTTTACTAACATTTTCAAGTTATTGCAACTTTGACTCATACAAATCATTAAAGAAAAACAGAGGTAATGAATCAATGCCTTGGATCTTAAACTCATCAAACTCATGGAGTTTCTTTCCACAACAATCCTTCTCTTATTTCTGTTTCCTTACTCAGTCATCTGTCAACAATTATACCTTAACACAACTGTCACTGATTGCTCAAACAACCCTTCAGCACCAAAAGGATACCTATGCAATGCCCCTCAAAGGTCATCATCATGCAATTCATTCTTAGTTTTCAGGTCCAAACCTCCTTATGACAATCCTATAACTATTGCATACCTTCTTGGTTCTGAAGCATCAACCATTGCTTCAATCAACAACATCTCAACAGATACCAAACTTCCTTCCAATAAAACAATCATTGTCCCTACCCTTTGTTCATGTTCTGGAAATATCTACCAACATAACACCCCTTACACTGTCAAAAAAGGTGATACCTACTTTCAATTGGTAACTGAAACTTACCAAAGCCTCACAACATGTCAGGCGTTAATGGGTCAGAATTACTATGCTTCTGTTAACATTACAATTGGTGCTGAGCTCACAGTTCCATTGCTTTGTGCTTGTCCTACGACAAAACAGATGGTGAAAGGGATCACGTCCTTGCTGGTTTACACAGTGAATCATGGTGAAACTGTTGAATCTATAGCAGAGGCTTATGGTGTTAATGAACAAAGTATACTAGAAGCAAATGAGTTGCAAGTGGCACCACCTGAAAACAGAAGGGTGAACCTCTTTGCCTTGACACCTATATTGGTTCCTCTTAGTGGCAAGAGTTGCAAAGAGGATCCTGATAGTTTCTATTGTACTTGCTCTCAAGGAAGGCTTGCAGATGGAAGCTGTAATGAATCTCATGGTCAAAAGTTTCCTGCCAAATTGGTTGCTGCATTAGGTACATTCGTGTAAACCCATTTGCAAATCAAAAATAATTCTGTTAAGATTTTGATTTATAGCAATGTTTTTGATTGTGTTTTCAGGGGTTGGAATTGGTGCACTCTTTCTGATTTTGTTTCTTTTGGGTTACAAGTTATATCAATATATACAGAAAAGAAGAGCGAGTATTCGTAAGGAAAAGCTATTCAGACAAAATGGTGGTTACTTGTTACAAGAGAAGTTATCATCTTACGGGAATGGAGAAATGGCAAATCTTTTTACAGGAGAGGAGCTTCAGAGGGCAACCGATAACTACAGCCAGAGTAGGTTTCTTGGTCAGGGTGGCTATGGCACGGTGTACAAAGGAATGTTACCAGATGGAACAATAGTAGCAGTTAAAAAGTCGAAACAGCTTGACCGGAACCAAGTAGAAGCTTTTGTTAATGAAGTGGTCATCTTATCTCAAATCAACCACAGAAACATTGTTAAACTCCTAGGATGTTGTCTTGAGACAGAAACTCCATTACTTGTCTATGAATATATTAATAACGGAAATCTTTCCCAACACATACATAGGAGAGACAATGAATCACCCCTTTCATGGGAAATTCGCCTACGAATTGCGTGTGAAGTTGCTGGAGCAGTGGCATATATGCATTTTTCAGCTTCTATTCCAATCTTCCACAGAGACATCAAACCAACCAACATACTTCTAGACAGTAACAATGGTGCTAAAGTGTCTGATTTTGGAACATCGAGAACAATTCCACTAGATAAGACTCATTTAACTACAGCTGTTGGAGGCACTTTTGGCTACATGGACCCTGAATATTTCCAGTCCAATCAATTTACAGATAAGAGTGATGTATATAGTTTTGGTGTTGTTCTTGTAGAGATTATAACCGGTAGAAAGCCAATAACGTTCAATGATGAAGATGAGGGTCAGAATATGACTGCACATTTCCTTTCTGCGATGAAAGACAACCAACTTTCTGATGTTGTAGACAAGACAGTGCTTAAGGAAGCAAGAAAAGATGACATTCTTGCTATTGCAAATCTTGCAATGAGGTGTTTGAGACTTAATGGTAAGAAAAGGCCAACAATGAAAGAGGTTTCAGCAGAATTAGAAGCACTGAGAAAGGTACAAAGTTTTATATATATCCAAGATGATCAGAAGAAACCAAGTGATGAGCAATTATTTGAGCATTCAACTAATGACATATTTCGGGAGTCCATAGTGGAAAGCTTTTCATTATCTTCTCAAATGGAGTCCACATCCTTGTAAAATGCTATATATTATTGATTTATTGTACTTTGTGCTTGATTTTCAGTTTATCAGTTCAACAAGTTTGCCTTTGAGCTTTCAACAAGTTTCACGTGTATGCCATTCGTGCTTGCAGTGATCACACCAAGGAACTTTATCCGACCTTCTTCCCTTGTCAAGGTTCCTAGTAGCCAGAGCTGAACCTTCAGATTCAGAGCTCCGTGGTGTCTTGCCCATCATAATTCCTTGTCGTGTCTCCTCCCTTCTTATTTCTGCAAAAGTTTCACAAAGAGTTGGCAATGGTATTTTTCCTAAAACTCCATCTCTTACCTCATCAAGGTCTTTATTGAGCCCAACGAGAAACATGAATACACAATCATTTTCTTACCTCTTGAGAAACAAAACGCTATCTTCTGTACACCTCCAATTGTCATCATAACAAAGATCCAACTCTTGCCACAGTGTTAACAGCTCATTGTAATAAACAGTTACACTCCTATTACCTTGTTTCGCATGCCATAACTTTGATTTTAAACCAAAAATTTGGGAGAAGTTTTGAATATTAGAGTATGTTTCCTTAACAGCTTCCCATACATCCCTTGCTGAAGGCAAAAACACGTAAGGCTTACCTATTCTAGTTTCTATGGAGCTTACCAGCCACGCAATAATCAAAGAGTTTTCAAATTTCCATTGTTTGTAACGAGGATCTCTTGATGTCGGTTCAGCTACTGCTCCTGTTAATAAACCAAGTTTTCCTTTACTATCCAACACTAACCGAACGGTTTGAGCCCATTCATTATAGTTATTCCCATTCACTTTAGGGATATTGACCTTGAGGGAGTACGAGGAACCCTTTTGATCATTACCGCCAATGTTGGAATAACTATCACCAAAGACAATGTTCCTGTTTCCATTGTTGTTGTTATTACTGCCAAAAACAATGTTAATGTCTTCATTATTGCCACTGTTTGTGACCACTGACGGTTCCTATCGTTCGTCATCTCCGCGACCACCGCTGTTTCTGCGGTCTCCGCCGTTGTTATTCACCATAAGAGGTTAAACGAGTATGTGAATCATATCGGGTAACCCTAACCCAGAGCTCTTGATACCATATTGGAAGAAATAGATAAAAGTCGTTGTAATTTTATTCATCGGACAAAGGCTGGTTTATATAATGAGAATACAATAAAAATACTTAATTCTCTCGTTAATGGAAAATAAAAGAAAATAAATGACAATAAATGTAAACAATTAAATATGGAAATAAAATATTTTCCAACCGTTAATTAATGGAGGTTTTCATGACAAGGAAGAGCTATGGGATTTGAGTTCAAGGCGTTATGAATGCCTTGAGAAAGTTTCAGAGGAGTACAATGAATTTTGCAGAAATCAATGGATAAAATTGCATGTTACCTTTGAGTTGTTATTGAGTTTTTGGGGAAGAGCTGAGGTTAAAACAACTTACTTGGTTGGTAGAGAATTTCTTCAGAAGAAGAATAGTGAAAACCAAGGGAGAAACCTGAGAGAAACTATAACGGAGGAAACTCAGTTTGAGGTGGAGTTTTCTACTACGGATGCTAGCAGTAGTGAGGGAACGGTTAGAGAGATTTCTGATTATCATTTCACTCATGATAAGGTAAAGAGAGTTATTGTAGCATCTCAAAGGGACGGTTATGCTAACCTTGGATATTATGTTTTTAATGTGGATGAAGGAGTGCAAAATAAAAGAAGAAAAACCTTTAAGGAGGCATTTGAAAACAGGTGGAGTTAAGGGTGATTGAAAGACCATACTTGTAGGTTTGTTAAATTACCTAGGCAGAAAAGGGTAATTGTGAACAAGTGGATTCAAGTTGCGAGATCAAGATTCCAGGGTTGCTTGAATTTGATCAAAATTATTGATTAAAGTTTCAACTTGGTAGAGATTAGTAATGTTGTTGATTGTTAAATTGGTATCAACGCGATTTAAAGTCAAGGTGGAGATTGTTGTAAATGTGCTTTAAAACATTTGTTGATAAAGAGAAAGAAAACATATTTTGCAGATTGCATTTACTGCGAAAATCGAAAAAATAAAATAAAAAATCGGTCGGTGAATAGTGTCGCCGACACGGCGAATAGTGCTACCCGTACGGATGAATAGTGATGTCCGTACGGTGAATAGTGTTTTTGCGTTTTTTTCGATTCGGTACATGAATTCATGTTATTTTGGGCTTTGTTTGTTGGGTATTTGCTATTATAAATATGTATCTCTTATATGTTTGGTGTGTGGCTATCTTTGAGTTTTCATCGACAAGGGAGATTAAGGATTTAAAAGTATAGCATAGAGTTTCAGCTATGCACAAAGAAAACATTGGAGAGGTAGGGAAACACTTGGGTAGAAAATACGGTTGTTCTTGGGCGCCTTTAGGATCGAAGACTATTTATTTTATTTGCTATTATTCTTTACCTCACAAATTGATATTAAATTTTGTCGTAATTCACAACAAAATTCACAACATAACTCAAACATCATAAATTGGTATAATTTTCTCTTAATAGAGTGTTAGCTAGATAATGACACCTTCCTCCAACAGAGCAGCTCAAACGTGGTTTTGGCTGATATGCTGCTGCAGGAGATTAGTCAGATTTCAAAGAAAAGGCTTTGAACATTGAAATAATGACATGGTGTTTGGCAGTGACAAGAAAATTCAGCAATGGAATGTGTCCCACTCTTGACTTTTGGGGGGATCAATAATGACATTTCTCAACATTTTCAAGTTGTTGCAACTTTGACTCATACAAATCATTATAATTGCCAATGAATTAATACCTTGGATCTTAAACTGCACCCCAAAATTGAAGTGCAACTCATCAAACTCATGAAGTTTCCTTACATTTACATTCTTTCCACAACAATCCTTCTCTTATTTCTGTTTCCTTACTCAGTCATCTGTCAACAATTATACATAAACAACACTGTCACAGAATGCGAAGACCCTTTAGCACCAAATGGATACCTATGCAATACCCCTCAAAGGTCATCATGCAATTCATTCTTAGTTTTCAGATCCAAACCTCCTTATGACAATCCTATAAGTATTGCCTATCTTCTTGGATCTGAAGCATCAACCATAGCTTCAATCAACAATATCTCAAAAGATACCAAACTTCCTTCCAATAAAACAATCATTGTCCCTATCTTGTGTTCATGTTCTGGAAATATCTATCAACATAACACCCCTTACACTGTCAAAGAAAATGATACCTACTTTCAATTGGTATATGCAACTTACCAAAGCCTCACAACATGTCAGGCTTTAAAGGGTCAGAATTACTATACTTCTTTAAGCATTAAAATTGGTGATGAGCTCACAATTCCAATACTTTGTGCTTGTCCTACAACAAAACAGATGGCGAAAGGAATCACCTCCTTGCTGGTTTACACAGTTAACTATGGTGAAACTGTTGAATCTATAGCAGAGGCTTATGGTGTTGATGAACAAAGTATACTAGAAGCAAATGAGTTACAAGTGGCACCCAATGAAAACAGAAGGGTGAACCTCTTTGCCTTGACACCTACATTGGTTCCTCTTAGAGGCAAGAGTTGCAAAGAGGATCCTGATAGTTGTTAGAAATCAGATTTTAACAAAGCTACAAAAGTGATTGGAGGAATGTATTTTATTCGATTAATCAGTGGCTAATATATAGCCATCTTACAAGCAAAAGGAAATAACTAACTCTACTCTTTACATGCCTACAGAGTAGTAAAACAAGTAACAAACCCTATTTCTCCTAAAGAATAGGTCTTATTCAAACAGAATAATAAAATAGTAGACTAAAACAAATACTAAAACACTAATACGTGTCCACCTAACATTCCCTCCCTTAAACTAAAACACATGTATTTTAGTTTAACTCCGACGCACTAACCATTCCAAGCATACCACAGAGTTTTTCAAACAGTTCAAGTTTGAGTGGTTTTGTCATCAAGTCTGCTACTTGCTCCTGTGAGTTTCAGTACTTTAATTCTACAACACCTTCATTCACTAAATCTCTTAAAAAATGAAACCGCACATGAATATGCTTACTTTTTCCGTGAAAAACCGGATTCTTAGCCAACTGAATGGCAGAGCTGCTGTCACATTGAATTATAGTTCCTTCAACCTGCTCCACTCCAATCTTTCTCAAGATTCTCTTTAGCCATATACACTGACAAGCACATAGAGCTGCTGCGATATATTCGGCCTCGGTAGTTGATAAAGTCACTACAGGCTGCTTTTTTGACGACCAGGATACAGCTCCAGATCCTATCATGAACACATATCCAGATGTACTTCTTCTATCATCAAGATCACCCGCATAGCCACTATCTGTGAATGCCAAGAGTTTTGAACAACCTTCATTCTTTGTGTAGAAAATGCCTAGCTCAGTTGTCCCCTTTAAATACCTCAAAATTCTTTTGGCTGCCAACCAATGTGACATGGTTGGTCTAGACATGTACCTGCTTATGAGACTTACACCATACATTAAGTCAGGACGAGTTATAGTTAAATACATGAGACTTCCAACCATTTGTTTGAACATTGTTGCATCAACTTTAGTTCCTCCTTCATCCTTTGACAACTTTGTTCCCGGTACAATTGGATTTTTCACACTATTGCTATTTTCCATTTTAAATCTTGATAACACTTCTCGTGCATACCTTCTTTGACAAATAAAAATACCATTTGAATTTTGCAGCACTTCCATTCCAAGGAAGTGTCTCATTCTTCCTAAGTCAGACATATCAAACTCTATCATCATTGAATTTTTAAATTCCATACACATGCTCACATCACTTCCAGTAAATATTAAGTCATCTACATAAAGACTAATTATTAAAATTTTACCTCCTTTTGATTTGGTGAACAAAGTATGCTCACTCGAACATTTCTCGAAGCCTTCACGCAGAAAGTAAGCCTCAATTTTGTTGTACCACGCCCTTGGCGCTTGCTTAAGGCCATATAGAGCCTTTTTTAGCTTGTAAAACTTCCCTTCTTCTCCCT